AAATTCATTTCCAGCAGACTTGTTAGACTTCACTGTTCATTTACACAGAATCCATGTGATATATACTTCAGTGACTTTCCATTGCCTTCACAAAGAAGTCCATACTCTCAGAATTCAAAGAGACATTGACCTTAACCTGTTTCTCTTGTCATGTCTTCAACTGCCTCCCTTCCTAAACCTGCTGTTCTGACTAGACAGTACCGATTATCTCTCCTGTCCCTTTGCCTTGGTAGTTTTGCTCACGCTCCACCCTAGTAAGGGAATTTCTTCACATTACTCTTCACTTATCTGGATGCTTTCTGGTCTGCAAGCTCTTTGCCCAGGGACTACTGTCCCTTGTGGCTCCTTCTCCCACTCCGAATTCTTGTAACACTATCTATATCATTTGTTTGGTTATTAAACCTCTGTGGGTTTATGGATTTTTTAGAAAATTGAATCGGTCCATTGTTGCAATTTCATGTATGTGCCCACTGTCTCTCCTCCAAAGGATGGTAAGCATCTTGAAAGCAGATGCTATGTCATATGACCTTTGTATTCTCACTGTGTAGCACAGTGTCTGGTCTATGGGGGTATTTTTAAATATTGAAAAAATTACTTAATTAAAATTACTTAACATTTCTGAGCCTGGTGGTTCTGTTGATAGTGACAAAGAGACTGACATTAGGGGATTGGCTTTTTTGTGAGGACGTTCAAGTGATAGCAGAAATACATGAGCAGATATTCCCTAGACGTTGACGACGAGAACTTTGTTGAGAGCACATATTTATAAATGCATACTCGACAGTGACTGATGCACAGATACTATTTCAGGACATAATGGGAGATGATTTTTGAAGAAAGGAGATAGTGTTGGAGGAACTGAAAGTTCCAGAATACAGTGTAACCTAGAAACATAGGACAAGAAAAGGAAAAAGAAGTGGTAGAAGGAGATAATTACACACCTAATAATATTTCTTCCAGCATCGAGCTCAAGATGTCCCATAGAGTAGTGTACTGTTTGAATAAATACAAGTAGGAAGAAAACTGAGGTAGTGTGGGAAATGAAATCCAGGTTTGTCTGATGCTAACTCCCATGAGCTTTGATCGTTGCTACCCAACTTCACTTGTAATTGTGAGGAATTTAACCTAAGGAGAAATTCTCTATTATGTGGAATAATCAGGAAAGTCATTAGGAGTGATGCTGTTGCTTTATTTCCTTCTTGTTCTAATGCAAATTTTATAAATCACATTGAATAAAACACTTCATACCTATGATTAGAGTGTTACAAACAAACCTGGAAATGAAATCCAGGTTTGCCTGATGCTAACTCCCTTGAGCTTTGACCACTGCTACCCAACTTCACTTATAATTATGAGGATTTTAAACTGAGGAGAAATTCTCTATTACATGGAATAATCAGGAAAGTCATTAGGAGTGATGCTGTTGCTTTATTTCCTTCTTGTTCTAATGCAAATTTTATAAATCACATTGGATAAAGCACTTCATACCTATGATTCGAGTGTTACAATACTCCTGGCAGGTATATTCGAATAAATAAATTTAAAGAATAAATATATATAAATATATACAAAATAATAAGAACAGCGATCTCAGGCCTGATATGGTAACTCTTTTCTATACAGATTTATTTAAACTATTAGATTGAAACATAAAAATTTGTTAAATTTTAACCATTTTTCACTACATAAAAGGCTATTTCATGTGGTTCAACCTCTAGTTCTGTGTTCTAGGTCACTCCCCCAAAGCTGTGTCCTCACAAGTATATGTCTGCAGAGGGGCTGTATGCCCACAAAGTCCAATTGAAGACTGTAGCAGAAAAGCATGTATGCAGTAGTTCCTCCTTATCCATGATTTTGTTTTTTGAGGTTTCAGTTACGATCAGTTGTAGTCCAAAAATATTAAATGGAAAATTTCAGAAAAAAAATTCATAAATTTTATGCTCTTCTGAGTAGTGTGATGAAATCTCGTGCCCTCCCGCTCTGTCCAGCCTGAGATGTGAATCATTCCTTTGTCCAGTGGATGCACACTGTAGTCGCTGCCCACCTGTCAATCACATAGGAGCTGTCTCTGTAGATCCAAAAAACATAGCGTATATAGGGTTCAGTACTACCCACAAATTCAGGCATCCACGGGGGGTCTTGGGAACCTAGTAGTCCCCCATGGATAAGGGACTATACAGAGCTGGAAACTGAGTTTAAGCTTTTGCTGTATCACAGCCCACATTGCAGATTTTATTAAAAAGAGTGACTGAAATACATTATCCTTGTGGATGTCATGTCCCCATATTATTCAGTGAGATTTAAACAGGATGGTGCAAAGGTTATAGTCAGAAGTGTCTCAGAGCAAGTGTTTTGACTAAATTGACAGGTCATTTGTTGGACCAATTATTTTCAGCAGTTGAGAGAAGACTGTATTGGACCATACAGCCAGAAGTAGAAACAAAGCCGTGAGAACACCAAGGCCTTTATGGGAAGATGTTGGAAGGAATCAGTGAGTGGTAGAGGATGTGGATTGCACAGTACACATTGCAGCACTTACTGGAGCTACAGAATTTTCACCAGATGAAGGCTCCAAATGTCTGATGCCTCTATATTTTGTTTCGGAGTATGTCAGAAAGAGAGTCCCAGACCACCAGGGTGCTTGTCTGTATCCTTCCTCTTGTCTTTACCTCAACACTCACATGTGACACTAATGGAATACAGCTTTCAAGCTAGCAGGATGGTCAATAAAGATTACATAAGGCTAGCAAAGACTTACTGAGCATCATAGTATATGGCTTAATTTTCTTTCTTTTTTTTTAAATGAAAGAAGAGAGATTCAAATAAATAATACTGGAAAGTCACCTGAATCATTTTAATTTTTTTTCATGAGAACTTTTATAAGGGTATATACAATCCTATCTTCTAGTTAATGAGGATTTTCAGGTTTTTAAATTTTGGAAATCAGAAAATGAATAAATTCCTCTTGTCATTGTGTTCTTAAGTAGTGAAATCCCCTGCACTTTGTTTAAAAAACAAAAAACTCCCTGTTTTATTTTCCCAATGTTATTGAGGTTTTTTTTTTTTTTTTTTTTTTTTTTAAGGCTCAGATTTACTTAATATAATGAAAGGCATCAAATCTTAGAAAACTGTCATCTCCCCCAGACCCTGAATCAGAAAGACTAATTACCTCTTCCCAAACCAGGCCATACTCTAAATTATCAATCAGTTCACCCTACCTAAGAGCCCCAGGAGGTATGACTGTGGCTGAGCTGAAAACTTCTGGAGCCAGCTGCTGACCCAGACTTTTCTGCCACTGGTCACTTGCCCCCAGGACCCCGTCACCAAGTTAACATGGGTTTGCTTTCTCTCAAATCCCTGAGGAACTAGAAGCCCAGTTTCCTGAAGAGAGCTAAAAATACTTTCTACCATTTATCATGCCTTGCTGTGGGCCAGGCAATGATCTACCTTTCTGTACATTATCTCATTTAATTTTTACAACTCTGAAAGTAGATGTTTTTCCCCTTTACAGATGGGGAAATTAAGACTTAGAGATGTTAAGCAACATGCTGAGGATTCATCTGGTAAATGGCAGAACCAGGTTTGCTGACTCCAAAACACACTCAAACCTGCATGGGTGCTATGAGAATGGGATGCCCAGGACTCCACAGAAAAGCATAGAAGCTGGGAGAAAGGGCCTTGAATACTTGTTAAACACCTCCTATGTGCCAAGGCTTTTGGTGGATTTTTAACACGTATCTTCTCAGATAATCCTTTCAACAGTTCTGTGAGTTAGGCAGTATTATTACCCCATGTGACCTACTTAGAGAGGCCAAATAACTTCCTGGCCACTCAACTGGTTACGTACCAAGTCTCATATTTGAACCCAGGTCTGTCTGTGTCTTTTGCTGTTACAGTGTTCACCAAAGTTTTTGAAGAAATACAGACTCTTAAACCATAGCAGAAGAAAAAGACTGATATGAAAGCAGAGAGATGGCCTGAAAACTTTAGAAATACATCCAAACTAACAGTTAGGAATTAGCAATATGTAATCTTAGACCAAACAGCCTGACAATTTTCAGAAATTATTTTTAGTTTTCAAAATTTAGCCTATTGTTACTAATCCAAAAGGCTTACTGGAAAATAAAATAACATAAAATAAAATTAACCTATCAATTTCATATGAGCATAGAAAAATTTTAAGATGGATTTTACATTTGTCTCGTGGTCAGTATGACTCAGAAGGTCTTCTGGGGTGGAAATGAATTCCCGACATCCAGACGATAATGAAGTGGGCAGATAGACCTCTGATGTTCACCTAGAGTGGATCCAATAAAAGTTAGATATAGATAAATTAGAGTTCAAGTAACCAGAACTCCTGTTCAATTGAATTTTTTTTTTATTTGAATTTCAGCATAATAAAGCAAACTACAGCCTCCCTCTAGCACCCCACCCCCAAAAGCGTTTATCGGGCCGATTCAGAAAAGTGACTTGTACTGAACATATGTTGAAGTCTTTTCATCTCCATGGTCTGCTGTTACATAATATTCAGTTAGGGTTGATGTTTGTTGTCAGGACCTGGGGCTACTGCAGAGACCCAATAACCCCAAAGAAAGATTAAATGATGTTGAATATACCAAAGCAGAAAGAAATTAATACATTTGAAATATATTCTAAGCCAATGGTGCTTTGTAAGAACTCAGATCCAAGACTTTAGACTGCAGTCGTCCTTCCACGTGGTTGCTTTATGCGTAAACAGGTACAGCTGTGGGAAAGGCCCTTCATGGCCCCTTGAACATGCCACTTCTATAAGATTGGTCACTCAAGCCGAGGTTGTTGATTTTTTACATGTCCTTCCTACTCCTTGAGGGCATGGGTTGTAACTACTTCATCTTTTCATTTCCTTAATCTAGCCTAAGAACCTGGTACATAGGTTAACAGTAAATGTCGAATACATAAATGTTTCTGAAGAAATTTTAAGAAACTAAATGTATCTTTTCTCTTTTGTCTCATTTCTGTAGCACCCGACAGCTATAAAGTGCAAGATAAGAAAAATGCCTCCAACCGCCCTGCCTCTGCAATTTCAGGACAAAATAACAACCACTCAGGAAATAAACCAGGTATGATGCATTGCATTAATTGTGGGAAAATAAAGATTATCTTTTATGACCTAAAGGCATGCTGACGATTATAAAGGTTTAATTTGTTTAAATTCTAGTTTTCAGAAAACTAGAATTTAGGAGAGCTTGGTTTCAGTCCTGCCACCAAACACACACTCCTACTGGCTTATATGATATTAAGTCAGAGAACCTCTCAAAGCGAAGCCTTGGTTTTCTCTCTTTAAAATGTAGATTCAAACACACGTCTAGCTTACTTCTCAGAGTCATTTTGACAATCAATGAGATGATGTATGTGGATGCACTCATTTAATGTCAAGCAGTTTAAAGGGGTAATAATTTTACTATTCTGTTTCAAATGATAGGACACAATTTTTTATACCTGTGTGTCCAACAGGCATTATCGCGTATCTCTTTTGTGACTTTTTCAAAAACTATTTCAAGAAACCTTTACACATAGCAAAGCTTGTATAGAATTATGGTTTTGTTTGCTATTCCTTGCAATGATTGTATGCCTACACAGTAATTTCATGTAATAGCCTCTGATTCATAGTCTCTTTCATTCAGTGATACAAATAATCTAACAGTCTGTAAATATAATACAAACAATTGAACCGACAGTGCAGTTGCTTCCAGATATCCAGTAACCATTGCGTGACCTGTGGAAGGAATGAATGTATAGTATGATAATAAGAGACAATCAAAGGAAAGGAAAGCAAACCAAATACCCCAGGAGGTTCTTGGAAACCTATTTCATGCTGCATCCAGTACTGAAGTCACTCAAGCACAGTGAATCAGTGAGAATAAAGATGGAAATAACTGAGTCTAACCTTATAGAGAATATTCTACTGTGTTTAGTTTTGTGAATTTTTTTTTTCATGTGGAAAAGGTCTTGAACACAACAGACAAATCTGCTTTGTCATTTAGAGGAAAGACAATAACAAATATTGTTGAAAATATTGCTTAAGCTGCCATTAGTGGAAAATGATGTGCAGCCTCAGAGGAGTTTTAATTACCAAACAGAGATTTCCTTAGTCAGCCTGCCTTTTCATTGAGTCATTTATCCATCCATCTAGCCACCCACCTTCCAGCTACCATCTAATGTTTACTGAGTTCTTCTATGCCAAAGAAGCATGAGAGATGTACTGCATGAGCAAACAACATGAACGCTGTCCCCATGGAGCGTATTCTAGTGGACCTTTATTTTCGTATTCAAGTGTGTCTCCATGCAGGTAGAAGTTCTTTAGCATGAAAAGCACATTTGTTGGGCCGATGGTGGAAACAGACCTCATAGCTGAGTTTCCCTGGCCTCCGGTGCTGCGCTGAGGTTATGGCCCGCTTCGTGACTGGGCTGGGAGCACAGGGCCAGCAGGTGGTGTTGGTCACGTCAGGTGGCATCAAGGTCCCACTGGAAGTGTACCGGCCCTTCTGCGATGTTTTACCTGGTGTAGTCGTGTCGGATTTCTATGTTCCTGTCTCTGAAATGCCTGAGCACAAGATCCAGTCATCTGGGGGCCCGCTGCAGAGAACAGTGAAGATGGTGCCAAAAATACTTTCCCCTTTGATTGAAGATTGTGCTCTCAAAGCATTTATAATTTCCTTTAAGTTGGAGACTGACCCCTCCATTGTAATTAATCGAGCTCAGAAGGCTTTGGAAGTTTATCAGCATCGAGTGGTGGTGGCTAATATCCTTGAGTCATGACAGTCCTTTGTGGTTATTGTAGCCAGACACTCAGAAACCAAGTTATAGCTATCAGAGGAAGAAATAGAAAAATACATAGAGATAGAAGAGAAGATAGTGGATAATCTTCAGTCTTGACACACAGCTTTAATATGTGACAAAAACTGAAGTAAAAAGCCCTTACATTATCAAAAATTGTCCAGGGCTCTTACAGTTGGTGAAAACTATAATAAAGCCTTTGCTTTCATATGGACAGAGAAAATGAAGGAAAGGGAAGAGGCAGTGGTGCACAGGCAAATATGCTTTGGTATTTGTCTTTTAATGACACATGATACACTCATCTGAATGTCTTCTTGATTTTGAAATTTAACACTAGAACTGTTTCTCATCTTTAAATAGAAGAGCTTATTGGGAAATATATATTACTTTAGATACACATTGGGGCCTGAATATCAGCCTTCTTTATACTGTAAAAAGAGGATTATGGATGCATGAATGGTCATGCTTTGGAAGTCAAATATTTGTTGAGTGCCTACTGTGTGTCAGGCCCTGTGCTGAGCCACAAGGGTTAAAAAGATGAATAAATGTGTTTTAAAAAAATAAAAGAAAATCACATTTGTTATACAATGAGAATTTAACATAACTTAATTGTTGGTGCTATATTTCTCTGGTTCTCCCCATCCACCACTGCTTCTAATTTCTACTTTTTTTTTTTTTTTTTTTTTACTGTGCAGTTTATACTTTTATATCCTGATAACTCATTTATTCATCTAGTGTTAGCATCATGAAGGTACTAGGAATATATTACTAAAAGACATAATCTCTACCCTCCAGTTGACAGTATGATAGATAAACCAATACATGAATAAGTCATTCTAACACAGAACCACCAGTGTGATGAGAGATTGCACACAGTGTATAGAGATCAGAAGCCAGAAAAACCTCTTCCACCCTAATTGGCCATCTCCTTATATACAGTCATTTGATTTATATTGCTAAAGTCAAGTTAAATAGGGAGACATTTCACTTCTGATTGTGTCTTTTTGAGCATCCCTGTGTCTGTTTTCTTGTATATACAGATAAGCCAAGCTATATAAAAGGCTCTTGATTTAGAAGCCACCATGTCATTCTTTTCCTGAGTCTCTCCAAAGGATAATATGAGTTATGTGTTGGAGGGCTGGCCTTGAGTAATACCTTTTAATTTTTGTGGAATACAGGTCATGGGAATGTCTGTCTAAAGCATTTTGTTGATTTTCATTTTCTAGAACTTGGGGGGAAAAAAAGTTCATTATGTATTTTGGGATATTTTGAGTGTTGTCCTAACCAGGTATGGGCATCCTGACTGAATGATTTCTGAGAATCCCTTTTAACCCAGTAAGTTTTGGCTAAATGTCCTTTCCTCTTTTACATTCTGATACTTAAACTCGTTAGAAGGCTCCAGAACATCTCTATGATTCAGAAGACATTTCTCCATATTCAAGTTGTGACTTTTATATTTAAAGCACATTATGGCTGGCCAGGCGCCAGTGGCTCACGCCTGTAATCCCAGCAATTTGGGAGGCCAAAGCAGGTAGATCACCTGAGGCCAGGAGTTCGAGACCAGCCTGGCCAACATGGTGAAACCCTGTCTCTAATAAAAATACAAAAATCAGCCGGGCATGGTAGTACACACCCATAACCCCAGCCACTCAGGAAGCTGAGGCAGGAGAATCACTTAAAGCCAGGAGGCAGAGGTTGCAGTGAGCTGAGATCCGCCACTATACTCTAGCCTGGGCAACAGAGCGAGACTCTGTCTCAAAAAACAAACAAACAAGCAAGCACATTACGGAAGTGCCTCGTGGTGTTTTAGAACTATGAGCACACTATGTTCTGCGTTATCCTGGAAGGACCATTGCTCTCAAATGTGAATACTTGAACCCAGACCAAATCAGACAGTTTGTAAAGTCACAGATCTGTCCACATCTACTAATTCCTGAAGAAGTGGGAGGTGGTTCTTCAGAACTCCAGCTGCCTCCAAATGATTAATAGTTTGACTTCCTTAGAAAACTGCGTGTTTTCATGGACCTGAGAAAAGCAGATATCCAAATTCATTAAAAAATCCCTCTGAATTCCTATCCCTTTGCTGTCCCCCAACAGAAGTCTTTAAAAGAGCCACTGAAACTTTATTCTGTCTTATTGTTTATAAGTAAATTGCCCTCATAGAGGCATGCATGACTTCGAATCTTCCAGCCCTTCTCTGATGCTACACCGTGCAATTGTAATGACTGTAGCTGCCATGGTGCATGGATGGGCACAGGACTGAATTAGAGATCGGGTTTTATGCCCTCGCTCTGACACATGTCCTTGCTATCTTTATTAGTCATATCTATTTCTCTGAGTTTTTTCATTTGAAGAAGAGGCATAGTAACTCTTCATTGAATAAATAAATGCTTGGCTAACTCATGGTGTTATTGGGAAGAATAAAGTGATAATATGTGAAAGTACTTCATAAAGTACAAATTGCTAACAGAAATACAGAAGTATTTACTGTAGAAATAGTAGTTGTTACATATGAGTCAAGGCCTAGTGAGTTCTTGTAAACACCGCATGACCATACTCTCAGATGTGTGTAAAGCAATCCAGGTTTATACATATTATCAAACACAGAATTTTAATGGCACTCCCTTTCACCCTTAACAGTGCCCCAGGTTAGGTGTCACCCCACACTTGAACCATCATAGGTAGGAGGTTGAATGTGGAGTGCAACTGCGATCTTACTTAAGCCTAAGTTCTATTCCTCTTAAAGCCTTTTTCCTTGTGAGAATTGGTAACTTAATTTTATTCTAACCATATTAGATCCATTGGGAAACAATGTAGAATATACATTATTTTATTTTATTTCAAGACAGGGTCTCACTCTGTCGCCCAGGCTGGAGTGCAGTGGTGTAATTAGGGCTCACTGTAACCTGGATCTCCCAGGCTCAAGCGATCCTGTCACCTCAGCCTCCTAAGTAGCTGGGACCACAAACATGTGCCATCACTCCTGGCTAATTTTTTTTTTTTATTTCTGGTGGAGATGAGGTCTCCCTTTTTCAAATGAGCCTGGGTTGGTCTCAAGCTGCTGGACTCAAGCAATCCTCCTGCCTTGGCCTCCCAAAGTGTTGGGATTACAGGAGTGAGCCACTGTGCCTGACTTATATATAATTTTTTTCTTTTGAGACGGAGTCTCATCTTGTCACCCAGGCTAGAGTGCAGTGGTGTGATCTCGGCTCACTGCAACCTCCACCTCCCGACTTCAAGCGATTCTCCTTCCTCAGCCTCCCAAGTAGCTTGGATAACAGGCATTCACCACCGTGCCTGGCTAATTTTTGTATTTTTAGTAGAGACAGGGTTTCGCCATGTTGCCCAGGCTGGTCTTGAACTCCTGACCTCAAGTGATTTGTCTGCCTCAGCCTCCCAAAGTGCTGGGATTGCAGGTGTGAGTCACCGTGCCTGGCTGACCTATACATAATTTTAAAGGATTTTCTATACCTTTTGTTTCAGGGAAAAATAATGTGGGGGTGGAAATGAGAAGGGAGGCAATGAATTATAGGAAATTCACTATTTACTGGAATTATTTAATTGTATGTTTTTGAAAACCTACCTTTAAAGATAAATTTTTATCAGTTTTTAGTTATTAAAACTAAAATTTAAATTTCTAGCATTTAAATAGTTTACTCCGTTATCAGCTACAAGATTGTTCTTAGTTTTTCCCATTGGTGCATCTTAATAGAAGTTTAAAGGCTCTGAGGGTTAGCTAAGGTTGCTCGTTGTTCATTCATTCATTCAACAAATAGTTATTGAATATCCTTTTCTGCCACATGCAGCCCTAGGCATTGAGCATGCAGCAGGGAAGAAAACAGACAAGTCTCTGTTCCTCCCCAGCCCCATGCACAGCCATCTTTAACCTGCCACAGGTGTTAATGACATTCTAGCACCCAAGAGACTTTCGTATTAATGGGAACAGAAGGATGGAAACAACCTACACTGAATAACTTTTTCACTCTACAATTCAGTATTTCCTAATGCCAGGTTTCCAAACCAACCAAAATCATCTAGTATATCACAGCCACTATGCATCTTAAACTTCAGAAATGTTACATTTCTTTACTTCCTCAAATCTACTTCCAGGTAGATAGTAATTATTTCAGCACTAATGTTGATGGACAGCCAGGAACTACTGCAGTCATAAGCATTGGCCTTATTTACAGCGTTTAATTGTATAAAAGTTTGGTTGTTTACATATTATCTTACGAAACAGGATGCAGTTTGTTACATGTTAAGAATATAATTTTCATATGAAACAATAGCATAGAAATCAGGGAAAAACTAGCACTTCTTGCACTGTTTTCAGAATATACATTCAAAAGGCACTTCGCAGGGGGAAGCATTACTTTGCATAATCAGGCATTGCCTTATTACTGCAGGAGCACCAGTTATTACTATGACTTGGGGCTGTCAGGGTTGGTGTGGGTTGCCGGGGGTGGCATTTGTCCCATATGTTATTAAAGCCTTCTTTTCAAAATTTTGTATGAAATTTGGCATGTACTTAAAAGTAAGCTAGACATGTCACATACTTAATATTGAAATATTGTCTAACAGAATTTGTCAGTGGAATTTTAAAAGTAATTAAACTGTCTATTTTACATACTTTCCATAATGTGCTCATATGACTTTTACAACGTTGATTTTCAACTTTTATAATTAAATAAAAGTTTTTATGAGGCTGGGTGCGGCAGTTTATGCCTGTAATCCCAGCACTGTGGGAGGCTGAGGCAAGAGGATTGCTCGAAGTCAGGAGTTCAAGACCAGGCTTAGCAACATAGTAAGAGCCCATCTCTACCAAAAAAAAAAAAAAAAAAAAAAAATTAATTAGCCGAGGTCGGGCATGCTGGCTCACGCTTGCAATCCCAGCACTTTGGGAGGCTGGTGGATCATCAGAGGTCAGGAGTTTGAGACCAGCCTGACCAACATGGTTAAACCCTATCTGTACTAAAAATACAATAGCTGGGCCTGGTGGCATATGCCTGTAATCTCAGCTACTTGGGAGGCGGAGGCAGGAGAATCGCTTAAACCCAGGAGGCAGAGGTTGCAGTGAGCCGAGATCGCGCCTCCAGCCTGGGCAGGAAGAGCGAGGAAACTCAGTCTCAAAAGTTAGCTGAGCGTGGTGGCGCACCTCGGCAGTCCCAGCTACTTGGGAGGCGGAGTCAGGAGAATCGCTTAAACCCGGGAGGCAGAGGTTGCAGTGAGCTGAGATCGCGCCATTGCACTCCAGCCTGGGGAGGAAGAGTGAGAAAACTCCGTCTCAAAAAAAAAAAAAAAAAAATAGCTGATTGTGGTTGTGCACACCTGTAGTCCCAGCTACTTGGGAGGCTGAGGTAAGAGGATGACTTGAGCCAGGGAGATTGAGGCTGCAGTGAGCCATGATCGTACCACTGCACTCCAGCCTGGGTGACAGAGCAAGATCCTGTTTTAAAAAAAAAAAAAAGTTTTCATGAGTGAGTAAACCTCATATTATTTAAGGAGTATTAAAGTGATAAGTAATTGTTAAAGGTCTTTCTTTTAACTTCATCTTGACTTTTATCCCGAGTTCTTTCTTTAAAATACCATTTTACTATGGCCACCATTTTCTTTCAGAAAAACAAATGACAGCAAAAACTTCCTGTGGATAGCCCTTAATAAATTGCCTGAGAGGGTCTTCATGTCCACCTCCATTTTCTTTTTTCCAAATTAAACCTTCAGGGCCAGGAGCCATATTTTCCCAAATAAAAATATGTAGAAGTACATAAATGATTAGGAAATCTGAAAAATATCATAGTGGGCTATTGAGGGCGTCCATTTAACCAATTTTTAAAAACCATCCACTAGTCTTGTTCATCATCCACACTGCCTGGTTTATGCAGGCTCCTATGGGATGTCTTTACTGTTTTTATATTCTTTAAATGTACAAATTCTGTAAAGTTCAAGAGACATTTGGCAGCCTCGGCAACATGGCAAAATCCCATCTCTACAAAAAATACAAAAATTAGCCAGGTGTGGTGGTGCACACCTGTGGTCTCAGCTACTCAGGAGACTGAGGTGGGAGGATTCACTTGAACCCAGGAGGTCAAGGCTGCAGTGAGCCATGATTTGTGCCACCGCAGTCCTGCCTGGACTACACGAGACTCTGTCTCAAAAGGAAAAAACAAAAAAAGACACTTGGGATGCGGACCTTTAAGTTTGTTGCCAAAGCACTACTATTTGTCTCTACTGTAATTTTTTTTTTTTTTTCTGAGATGGTGTCTCACTCTGTCTCCCAGACTGGAGCACAGTGACATGTGATTTCAACTCAACGCAACGTCCGTCTCCCAGGTTCAAGTGATTTTCCTGCCTCAGCCTCCTGAGTAGCTGGGACTACAGGCATGTGCTACCACGCCCAGCTAATTTTTGTATTTTTTAGTAGAGATGGGGTTTTGCCATGTTGGCCAGCTGGTCTTGAACTCCTGACCTCAGGTGATCCACCTGCCTCAGCCTCCCAAAGTGCTGGGATTACATGTGTGAGCCACTGCACTCAGTTTGTCTCTATTATTATAGTAGATTCCCATTTTTAACATGAGATTCTAAAAATGTCAACGTCAATTCTTTTTTCTCTTTTTGGAGACGGAGTCTTGCTCTGTTGCCCAGGCTGGAGTGCAATGGCGCAATCTCGGTTCCCAGTAACTTCCGCCTCCCAAGTTCAAGCCATTCTCCTGCCTCAGCCTCCTGAATGGCTGGGACTACAGGTGCACGCTGCCACACCTAGTTAATTTTTTGTATTTTGTAGTAGAGACAGGGTTTCACCATGTTGCCCAGGCTGGTCTTGAACTCCTGAGCTCAGGCAATCCACCCACTCGGCCTCCCAAAGTGCTAGGATTACAAGCGTGAGCCACCGCGCACAGCCTGTCAACGTCAATTCTAATGTCAACTTAATAAAGAGAAAAAGAAACCTAATTTTAAGCATGAGTATCATGATGATCATTTTTATTATTTTGTTTTTATATGGCAGCAGAGTGAGCCTGTAAACGTAGCCCTCTGCTGCAGAACCCCTCTTCTCCACCCATGTCTCACTCAGAGTATAATGCAAAGTCCTCACCTTAACCGTAAGCCCCGTCACTTACTCATCTCACTCTGTTCCAGTCCCTCAGATCTCCCTGTTGTTTCTGGAACACATTAGGTACTTGCAACCTCAGGGCCTTTGCACTTACTTTCTATAGAACATCATTATCACAGTAAGGCCTTCCTTGGGCTCCATCCGAAAAATTAAACATCCTTTTCCTGACATGTCATAATCCCCTTCATTTCTTTGTTGTCTCCTTAACGTTTATCTCAGTCTAATATTCTCTGTATTTTTCTCCTTTTTCATTCTACGTATAGTACTTATTTATCTTCTTTGTCAGATTTTTTTCCCAAGTAGAATATAAATCCCACCAAGTCTCAAGTTTTTGTCTTTTTTGGTGACTGCTGTCTTTTCAGTATACAGAACAGTGCCTGGAGCACATAGTAGATGTTCAGTGATTTACTGGGACATACACACTACACACTCCACTAACAGTCATTATAATAATGCAAAATAGGCTCTATTGGATCCTCATTTTACAGGTAATAAATCAAAGTACACCTCATAGCTTGAGACTTAGAGAGGTAGGTAAGTACCTTGGCCAGCGAGTGATGGGGCAGAAACTGAATGCATGTCTGTTGGACTCGAGCACTTCACCTCTAACCAGCAAACATTTGTTCAATATAAAGCCACTTAAGGATTCTGTTGGTCGTTAAGGAACAGACTTTTTAAAGCGTAAAAATAATAGAAGTTTGGTAGCTTAGGAACACAAAACATCATTTATATTGTTTGATGAAAATAGCCAAAAGGCTATAGTTATAGTTATAAAACATCATGATTTACATAATGTTTTCAAATAGAGGAAAAATGCTTGGAAGTCCTTAGAAAACTTGTAATAACTGAGTGGATCACTGTAACTCTAGTCACATGTACTTATTGTTGTAAAGTGTAGCAATATTTTATTCTTCAAATTTACTGAATATTTATCAATGTGTATTTTTTCTTTTTCTTTTTTTTAATCCACTCTTCATCTCATGTTTTTTTAATCTCGTTTTCAGACCCTCCGCCTGTGTTACGTGTTGATGACCGGCAGCGGCTGGCCCGGGAGCGACGTGAGGAACGGGAGAAACAGCTAGGTACCCCAGGCCCTATGTCCATGGCCCGGATTTGAATGGATGTCACTATAATACCACGGTCTCTTGCATACCTTTATGAATTTTGCTGGTGCATTATGAAGCAGAATTTAGGATTTGATGATACAATATAAACATAGGGCTAAGTTTTAAGTAACAATAAACGCTAGCCTGAGGATTCGGGTAATTTTTTTTTTTTTTTTTGCAATCACAGTTTAATGTGGCACTGGAAGAAAAGTATACATGAGTGGAGTGATAGTACAGCTTACATTTTACTACCGAGAAAATGCAAGGACAATAAACATATGGTTCTTTTTTACGTGAAAAGTTATGAGATCATACACTGCCAGGGCACTTAACTGCCTTCTCTGTTAAAATTATGCTGCCATTGAACTTATAGACAGGTGCTACCAGGCTGCTGCCAGGAAAAGCATGTGCTGAGGTGTCTGATTTTTCTCTTATTACCTAAGGACCTTGTGAAAGGTTAGCAACTGCAATATTTGTCATATAATCACTGGAACCTGGATCACAGGACTATCTTTGCAGGAAGCTGAGACTAGAGCACTTAGAGATTGTACAGTCATTGTCTTCTAGAATACTGGGCAAGGAAGCAGGTGCCAACCCCTCCTTTACTTTGATGTCCATTTATGTAAACTTGCTAAAACAGGTTACTCTCTTGAAATTACCTGAACGATGTACCTTGAAAAGATTAAATGCCTGGTCAGCATGTGTGTGTACAGAGTGCCTGGGTATTCTAAAACTGGACTGACAGGGTATCAAATTTTTCCCAGCAGATGACCTGTAACTTCTTAAAGTTGTACTGCATTTTGTAAGAGTTAATGTTTCAACTGGGGACTCAGCCCCTGTATCTCATCCCTTTATTATTCTTATTCCAAAGTCCAAATTTGTGAAATGTACTGGAAGTTGGTTTTCAAAAGTCTTTTGCTATTGTTTACATTCTTTCAACTCAGACTTGTTTCTGTCCCTTGCCATAATGGCCATATGAGGTCATTTATTTTGCTTCTGAGGTTTTTTAGGCACAGATTTCAGTGGCTTACTGGAAGTGAACATACTCTGCTGTTTTTCTGTGCCTAGAATTTCCTCCCTGGCCTGACAGGTTCCCTGCAGGCAGGTAGGTTCTTGGGGAGCAGGCTGTCTGTGGTCACCAGGGCTCTTCCTCCTGTGAATATGCCCATTGCTCTCCAGTAAGGTTGCTTTGACAAGCAAACCAGAACTGAGAGAGGATGAAGGCAGAGCTGCTGAAACTGGAAGATGAGTAAAAATAAGAAACTGACTACTGTTTTAGGGTGGCTGTTATTTACACTCTGTTTTCAAATCCATGCATGTGTCCTTTTCCCCCTCTATCCCATCAGGTCTCACACTTGGAGATCTCTTTATAGTGTGGATTCATATCTGCTTGAATAGAAGAAGTTCCATAGGTCAGGAGATCATTCCTTTATGGTTTAAATCACATTGTGAATTAGCTTTTCCATACTTAACTCACACCTTTCCATTTGGGTTTCTTTATCTTACAAAACCAAGCATTAGTTTTTTGTGGAAAGCATGAATATGCTACTGGTGAAACAAAAATGACTTATACTACGGAGGTGTAAGACTTATAGCTTTGAGCTTGCAGTTCTCCCTAAAAGTTGCCTACCTTTGTATATTGAGTGACTAGATTTTCTCTTAAGATGTAATGCTATATTTCAATTCATATTGATAACACAGGACATGACTCATTAGTTTATATATTCAAACACTGTATGTGCCATATATTGTATTTAAAAGATGACAAAAAGATGAATAAAAGTTGACACCCAACCCTCTAGAGCTAGATGTAGTCTAGTGGAAGGCAGATGAACAAATAGCAACTATTAACATCACAGCGCAGTGCATCCACTGTGAATGGGTATGCGCCAGGGGCATTGAGAGCCTGTAGAAGTGCCTACCCCAGCCTGGCTCTGCGAGGTGCCACCCAAGTTCCCAACTAAAGGATGAAAGGAGCCATTCAAAGGGATAGAAAAGCAGGCATTATAGAACAATATCCAAGAACAGGTGGGAAAGAGGCATTTGCTGAGAGACCCAACATGCTTTTCAGATTATTATATGGTTATATGTTATATATATATTATATTATATTATATTTAGATGATTGTATTATTCTATTACAGCTTAACTTTTTTGGTGAGCCAATATGTGATATACATAGTTTCTGTCTTCTCTGTCTCTCTCTTTGAAATGGGATCTTGTTATGTTGCCCTGGCTGGAGTGCAATAGCTGTTCACAGGTGTGATCACAGTGCACTACAGCCTCAACCTCCTTGGCTCCAATGATCCTCAGCCTCTTTAGTAGCTGGCACTGCAGACTCACGTCACCACACCTGGCATTTTTCTCTTTATTCTTACCCCTGCCATGTTAAATATCATAATTTTTAAAAATTCAATCTCATTTCTTTTTTCAATTGTCAGAGTCATAATTTTAAGGAAAATATATCCATTCTAATTTTTTTCTTTGCATTAATTTTATTTTCTTTACATTTTAGAGCAGTGCCTTTTTGCCTATTTTTTTTTCCATTTAAACCACCATAGTTGGAACTAAGTCTTGAGAGGCTGCCCTCAATCTTCATAAATACAGAAATGAGCATATATGCAAATATACATGCATATATTATATACATTTGTAAAAGAGCCATTTAAAAATCTAATTTCAGCTGTGCCTTAGAGTACGTGAGGGTGATTTCTAAAAAATCTTCAGTACCAGTGGTAGCGTGGGGACTGGCTGGGAAGCGGGTGGTCGAGTGTGTCCTGTGTGGATGCGGATCCTGCCTGAAGCCGGGCGGAGGAGAGCTAAAGCTAAGGTGTTCTCGTGAAGTTCTGACTTTCCAGGGAATGCTTGTGTTTGGTTATTAAATGGCTATTATAGGACTTTGGGTGATCAGCCCATGACCTAGACCTCTAGACAAAATAAAACAGGGAAAATTTGCTAGAATCAAGAATGATGGATCCATGTTCAGTTGGAGTCCAGCTTCATACTACAAATGAATGCCATAAAACCTACTATACTCGTCACACAGGTTTTAAGACTTTGCAAGAATTGTCATCAAATGATATGCTTTTACTTCAACTTAGAACTGGAATGACACTTTCTGGGAACAATACAATTTGCTTTCATCATGTAAAAATTTACATTGACAGATTTGAGGATTTACAGAAGTCATGTTGTGACCCATTTAACATACACAAAAAATTAGCCAAAAAAAAATTGCACGTAATTGACTTAGATGATGCCACTTTTCTGAGTGCAAAATTCGGAAGACAGCTTGTACCTGGTTGGAAGCTTTGTCCAAAATGCACACAGATAATCAATGGAAGTGTGGATGTTGATACTGAAGACCGCCAGAAAAGGAAACCTGAGTCAGATGGAAGAACTGCTAAAGCTTTGAGGTCACTACAATTTACAAATCCAGGAAGGCAAACTGAATTTGCTCCAGAAACTGGTAAAAGAGAAAAAAGAAGGCTTACAAAAAATGCAACCGCTAGTTCAGACAGACAAGTGATAACAGCAAAGAGTAAGGTCTATGATAGCCAAGGTCTCCTGATTTTTAGTGGGATGGACCTCTGTGACTGCCTCGATGAAGATTGCTTAGGATGTTTCTATGCTTGTCCTGCCTGTAGTTCTACCAAGTGTGGAGCTGAATGCCCCTGTGACCGCAAGTGGCTGTATGAGCAAATTGAAATTGAAGGAGGAGAAATAATTCATAATAAACATGCTGGATAATCTGTGGTACCAAACTATGGAGCCTTTAAAGGTCATTATTTCTAAAATTCTGTTACTCTAAGATACATTTTAAGCTTGATTGTCATATGACAAAGATTTTAAAACCACCTCAGTGTGCCCTAATTTTTCATCTTGGGTGCTTTAAGTTTCACTATTTGATATAAATTCAGATAGGCTATTTTTCAGCCTATTAAGCCTGTCTGGATCAATATAAACAAGTAGGGTGTAGGCAGTCCTCTATTTGCATGTTTCCCTTGGGCACAAATTTCAGTGACCCAGATTTAGTTTAAACACCAGTTTCCTTAACAGGAAGGAAAGGAAACTGGTAAGGAAACTGTTGTTAAAATCTAGGTTAAAATTTTAGTTAGCACAGTATAACTCTGAGTAATTACATGAAGTACAAACTTCTCTGCTAGTTCTTCAGTCTACAAATCGCTATGTAAATAACAGATATACTTCATGATTAATGACCAGTCATGTTGACTACTTTCAGATTCTTCCAGTGGTTTGTCCCTGTGTATCTGTTATTCAGTTCACTTACAGCAGAGCACGTAGTTATGCTGTCTCTTTGTCATCCACTTGACATTTTATAGAAGTGAATACTCAAAAGAACTGGCCAACAAAGATGAAAGTGCAGCAAAGCAATGAAAAATGATAACACTGGAAGTGAAATTTTAATCAAACATAAATGAATTTGTAGAAGAAGTCACTGACCATGGGAATATTGTTCTTGCTGCTGTGCATTCATAGGAGCTTAATGAAGGCAAACTTATCAACACAAATAAGAAACGTGGTTGCAATAAAGACAAATATGCCCCAGAGGAAGTGATGGTTAAAAAAAAAAACTTTACATTAAAGGATATTTAATGTGAATATAGAAATATATCACAACACTGAAAGCGCAAGCAATAAAAGGGTGGAAGCTGACCTAAACTTAAAAGAAGTATGAGTTTGCCATGAACATAAAAGATGCTCCCTTGGTATCATAAGTTACTTGCCAGAAAAAAAGGCAAGCCCTATTCAAACTACTTCATTTTTACAATGAAATAAACCACTTTAGTTCTATTTCTAATGTTTTAAATTACAGTGTACTAAATATTTTTAAACATTTTTGCATTTTTTTCCTACATTTATAACTGATCTTAAGAATTTTTAATATTTTAGCAGTATCTTAAAGGTCATGGAACAATCATCATTTTCCCCATTGATTATTAAGATTTCAGGGC